TCCGCTTCCGGTTTTAAGAGTGAACAACACGGACATATCTCACCCTTCAGACGTCGCAGAGACGATAGGCCGTGCACTCTATCAGCGCTGCCGAGGAGAGCCGTCCTCACGACCTGCACCAGCCGCCGTGGACTTCAGCACAGCTGAAAATTTGGTGTACAACGAGCCTTTCTCTATGGCTGAACTCACGTCTGCCATCAGCTCGTTGCGCAGCGTCTCAGAAGGTCCGGATGCTGTCCACAACGACATGCTCCGTCATCTCCCGGCAGTTGCCCTCGAGGCGCTGCTAGCAACTTTCAATTCGCTGTGGGAGACTGGCACTTTCCCTGAGACCTGGCGGGAAGCCACTATCATTCCTATCTTGAAGGCTGGCAAGTCGGGACATGACCCTCTCCACTATCGGCCCATCTCTCTCACATCATCGCTTTCAAAGCTGATGGAGAAGATGGTCAATGTGCGTCTTAGCTGGTTTCTGGAACATCACGGTGTTTTTACAAACGCCCAGTGCGGTTTTAGAAAGCACCGCAGCCCTGTTGACCACATTTTAGCCCTCGACACCGAGATACGCACCTGTTTTACTGAAAAGAAGCACCTTGGAGCACTGTTCTTTGATATTGAGGCGGCCTATGATACAGTGTTACGACACAGAATACTTTCCAAAGTACATAAGTACGGCATACGTGGCCGAATGGGTCTCTTTATCAAGAACTTTTTATCGGGTCGTCGGTTCAAAGTCCGTGTTGGCAGCCGTCTTTCGAGCAGTTTTATTCAGGAGAACGGAGTTCCTCAGGGCGGAGTGCTCAGTGTGGCGCTGTTCGCTGTGGCGATCAATGACATTGGCGACAATCTCGCACCATCTATCGGCAAATCACTATTTGTCGATGATTTCGCAATCTGGTTTTCAGCTACGACCGCCCGTCACGTTGCCAGACAGTTGCAGCTCGCTGTAACCCGTCTGGAGAGGTGGAGCGACGACAACGGCCTTCGTTTTTCAACAACGAAGACCGTCGCTATGCACTTTTGCCGCCGCCGCTGTGACGACTTAGCCTTGGGAATCAAGCTCCATGGACAGGTGATTCCTACTCGGCCGGTGGCGAAGTTTCTTGGAATCTTTTTTGACAGTCGTTTGACGTATAGAGAACATTTTAGAACGCTTCGGGAACGATGTTTTAAATCCCTGAACGTTTTAAAATGTGTCGCCCGCACATCTTATGGTGCGGACCGCAGGACCCTTCTTCTTCTCTATCGATCGATTATACGATCGAAGCTGGATTACGCTTCCTTTGTCTATGATTCAGCGAGTGAATCCAGCAAGAAGGTCTTGGATACAGTCCATCATGCAGCACTCCGAATAGCCACCGGAGCATTCCGCACCTCGCCCAGGAGTAGCATTCTTGCTGAGGCGCACGAGCCGCCACTTTCTCTCCGCCGCCAGACGCTGGGGATGCGTTATGCTCTTAAACTACGTCAATTCCCGACGCATCCGACGTACCCGTACGTCTTTTCGCGTCACATTGCTTCATCTGGTAATGGGACGAGTCATCCATTCGGAGCACGCATGAGAGGTTTATTCTCTACATCGAATATAGACTTGCGCGGCGTTCGGCGTATCTGGGGAACGCCTTCTCCACCCTGGAGAAACGCCCCGCCGCAGGTAGACCTCTCGCTTTCCGAAGTAAAAAAGGATAGCCTGCTGTCCTATGAAGCACAAACCAGAGCCTTGGAGCATATAGCCTCGTATGATGGTTTTATTTCAGTCTACACAGACGGCTCAAAAACATCCGAGGGAGCGGGTTGCTCTTTTGTCGCTGGTCGGGACACCCGCTCGTTTTCCCTTCCACCCAGCGCCTCGGTGTTTTCCTCAGAGCTAGTCGCCATCGAAAAGGCTCTGTGTTTTATTGAGGTGTCCGACGGTTTTTTCTATTTGATTTTATCAGACTCACTAAGCAGTCTGTTGGCTTTACGACGGTTTAATCCTGACGACCCGATCATTCAGGACATTTTAACTCGGCTAACTTCGGTGGAACAGTCCGGAAAAACTATCCGGTTTTGCTGGATTCCCAGTCATGTTGGAATCCAAGGCAACGAGCTTGCTGACGCCGCCGCGAGACGCGCCGCCGCAGCGCCCTACACTCGGCGATTTCCTCTGCCTGCCCGGGATTACTATCCCGTCGTACGATCTTCCATGCTCTCGCAGTGGCAAGCAGAGTGGGACTCGCGCGCGAGCAGTAAGCTGAGAGATATCAAGCCAACTCTCGAGCCTTGGTCGTCATCCATGCAAAGTAACAGACATAACGAAGTCGTCTTATGTAGGCTGCGCATCGGCCATACGTATGCCACGCATGGTCATCTCCTCCGCGGAGAAGAGCAGCCCACCTGTCGCAGGTGTACCGTGCCTCTCACTGTCTCTCACGTGCTTTTATCTTGTCCTCTCGCTGAACCGAACCGGACACGCTACCTCGGGCGCATCGCTCCGGGTACCACTATCCGCCGCTTACTGGGTGACGAGTCACCCTGGGTTTTATCCGGCAGCATCTTTTCTTTTATCCGTTCGATCAACTTCCAAGTGATTTACTCGACCTGACCCCAATCCAACTAGCCCTCTCTAGTCCTTTCATCTAGTCAGTTGTCTAGGACGACACCTTTGCGCTGTTTTATCTTACCTTGCTATTTTATATCGAGTCTTACTTTCTAGTCTTAGTATCTAGAAGGTTCTTTCTTGTGGCACACTTGTTTTATTAGTACGACGTTATGGGCGCAAAATGACCTTAGCAGTCGGCGCGCCCTAAAGCCCCAATCAACAAACAAACAAACAATCCAACTAGCCCTCTCTAGTCCTTTCATCTAGTCAGTTGTCTAGGACGACACCTTTGCGCTGTTTTATCTTACCTTGCTATTTTATATCGAGTCTTACTTTCTAGTCTTAGTATCTAGAAGGTTCTTTCTTGTGGCACACTTGTTTTTATTAGTACGACGTTATGGGCGCAAAATGACCTTAGCAGTCGGCGCGCCCTAAAGCCCCAATCAACAAACAATGTGTTGCATTTTCTTCTGCTGCATGTTTTGGGCAGGTACTTTCTTGTCAACTTTGTTTTGGGCATGCACTTGAGCTTGTGGCAGAACAAGCTTGTTTTGATGACGTGCTTCAATGGCACGGGCTTGGGCCCTGGCTTGCTCCAAGCCTCTCGCAAAGGAGTGCGTGCAACTCCTCCAGAGTCATCTTTTGCTGTAGCGCTTTTTCCCGCACTCTGGGATCTCTGACACCCATGATCAGCTGTTTGATTTCCCTTTTGCCTGATTTATCTGGCTGAATCCGCAAATTCACAAGTGCTAGCCAGCTGACGCAGTCGTCTTGCTACGAAAGCATCAATGGACTCACCTTCCATCTGAAGAGTTTGACGAAAAACATCACACTCATAATCGATGTTCTTCTGGGGCACAAAATAGGCACTCAGCTGCTTGCAAGCAAGCTGATATTCATCCAGTGGCGGCGTCTCATCAGCGGTAGCTGGGGCTAGCAGCGTTTCATGCAGTTCAAAAACTGCAGGGCCTGCAAAATGTAGGAGATAGGCCTTTTTGCGTGCTGGGGCTTCAACTCCCATGGCCAAGCACACGTTTTCGAGTCTTCGAAGCCATCTTGGCCACTCATCGGGCCTTCTTACATCAACTGCGGCAATTCTAGCGCAGGCCGCAGGGCCAGCCATGTCTTGCGCGGCTTTTTGCGGGCGTAGGCTTTACGTTGCTCAGCAAATGGGCGTTACAAAATGAAAATTACCTCGTCGCCAATGTTGTTGTATTCAAATGCCCAGCTAACTATTTATGTTTATTCAGTAAAGTGCGGGTTGTCGGGCATTGCCAATCGAGCGGCACGTGGCTAGTGCGTTCTCCTAGTTCTTTACCTTTTCGAGAACAAGTCACTGCGTTCCGTCAGGTAGCGAGAGCATTCACTTTATCACTCAGGTCCGTCACACAGCGGGAGCATTCGCTTCAATATCCTACAGTCTCGTCCTCCTCCACGCAGTGCCGATCCCAGGCCGGATGGTGGGCAGGGAGTCCCGGTTGGTGGGGAGGGCCGACGGGTCGAAGTAGTCGAACTTCTGGTCTTCTTCGCCAGGTCGGATACACGGCCGATATAATTTTGGATGTCCAGGGTTGGCGCAGGACTGCTGCTCTTCAGTGCGGAGTTGCCAATGCTGAGGTATAGGCGGATGCCGCACCACTCGGTAGTCGTGTCCGCCATGGCCAAGAGGCGGTCTCTAGCTTGTCAAAGTTGAGACCTGTGCGGACGTAAATCGCTACGTCGCCCCCTTGGCCGGACCCGAGTTTTTCCGCCCCCGTGCCCTTCGGCGGACGGCCGCCGTCTGGAATCCGGGGATCTCGGTGAGAGATGAAGCGCTGAACTGGGCCTCTTGAACCGCGATGACGTCAATTTTCTACTCCGAAAGCCAGCCTTGGAGCTCCGTCAGCTTGCGACGTAGTCCCTCGGCGTTCCAGCAGGCGATCTGCAGGCGGCTTCGAGTTTTGAGGTTGGTGTGGATTCGACGGTTCTTGGCTCTCCTGCTTCGACCCCGGGAGCTCCTTCCGGCGGGCGCTGCCGCACCCCCGCCGCCGGCATTAGCGGCGGGTGGCGCCGACTCACTCATTCACCGCAGGCCGGCGCCGCTGCGGACAGCCTCCAGGCGGCATGTCCTCGCGCGACACCGGCCCGCTGAGCGTGCACCAGGTGTGCAGGTCGTCGTGCAGATGGTGTAGAGACGATGGCGCCGTGGAGTGTCGGCCGCCGGTGCCCGGCCCCGAAAAGGCGGGCTGGGACCCGATTGGCTTCCCCGCCCCTCTCCACGGCGGGGGCGGGGACGAGCCCCACGGAGTCCACCCCGTGAAAGTTGGTCCCTCCAGACTCCTGCACGGAGCTCGTTATGATTGCCATAAACATATCAATAAAATGTGGGCATTTACCGTCAGCATATCCCAGGCGCACGCCGCTCCCCGTGCCTGACTGCCCCCGGGGTCGGCTGGGTGCCGGCCTCGTCCAGCCCCCGGCGCAGCTGACAGCACCCGCTGACCTCGGCTCCAACGGCCGTAAACGGGACCGCGCATGGCGAGGGGCGCGGCTCCGCTCAAGGATGTCTGGTAAGGCGAGTCCTGGGGCGCGCTGAACCGCTGTGCTGACCGTGAGAGGAGCAGGTCGGACCACGCCGCCGCCCCTGCCGTCACCTGCCGAGTCCTGGGGTGAGTACGGCTTCACGGGGGACTGATGCAGGTTATCCGTTATTTACCTGACTTGAAAACTGAAATTATCATTTTGATGTAGGCGGTGTGGCGTGCTGTATAATATGTATACCTCTATACGTACAGTCTGTCTTAAAAGTACCGCGCAAAGTGACGGTGGATCCATCAAGCCTGACCGATGAAGGGCCTGCTATAGTTTGAAAGTCACCGAACCAATTGACCTGGGGAATGGACGAGGATGTCAATTGCTTCGGTGATTCAAATTTAGCAGGCCCTTCCTCGGTCAGGCTTGATGGATCCACCGTCACTTTGCGCGGTACTTTTAAGACAGACTGTACATAAGCATACCTATATAGCCGACGTGTAGGTCATAAGTCATTTTTTCATAGGCTACGTCGCCGCTTCAAGCTGGTTGAATTGTGGAGCAGTGTAGGGACGTGTAACTGAAAGTATTTGTGATATGTCGGTTTACAACTAGGACGTTGCTGGTTAATTGTCATGCGTTAAAGGAATATTGCAATTGAACTGGCTTTTTAGACGTGACGTCAGAGTTCATGATGTTGAGGGTTAAAGAATTGTTCCTTAGGATCCTGCGTCGTGTGTGTCCGCAGTTCGCTCCGGTGGTCTGCTCGGTGCCCGCGGCGAGGCCGGGCGGGGGGGGGGGGCGGATCGACCCCGGCGGGCGGCCTTGGCGTCAGGTGAGCGCAGGGGCTCGGCCGTGACGTCAGCGGCGGCCGGCGCGCTGATTGGCTCCCGGCGGGGGTGTGAGCGGCCGCCGCGCTGACGCAAGGACCCGTATGTGGGAGTCACTGTCGGTGGGACAGGCCCTGCGTGCGCGCCTCCACCTCCGAGAGAACGTCTTCGCCTGGAGTCGCACAGACAGCGTGGACGCAGCCCGACATCTCTGAGGTCTTCGAGGATCGGAGGATCGACCGTCGCGCCCAGATCCGGCTCAAGACGCGGTGAGTAGCCAGATTGGGAAATATCGATCCGGAGCCCGAGACAGCCGCCAAGCCCGGCGCAGTTCGGGGAAGGGTTGGTGATTAAATACCCATCGCCTGGTGGTCCGATATATAGGGGATGCAGTCGGAGAGCTGGATTGAATTATATTTACAGGTACAGTGTCGACGCTTGGCTACATGTTCCGATGATAAGGAACAATTGTATTCATAGGATGGCATAAAAATCAGCGCCTCATAACCCGCCTGCATTATTGACTTTGATTTACCATCACCGAGAGGCTGTGGAAATGAGTCCACCGCTCACATCGGCCTGTTTGGCGGGTGGCGGGGCGGCAGACCCCTCCCACTGCCGACCCGACCACCCGACCACACCATTACCTCATTGTCCCGCCGAGGGGATCCCAGCCGAGCGCCGGGATCTACGCGCTTCCTGCGTCATTTCCGCGAGGAAGATGTCGTTCGCCGCTGCTTCGGAGTGTTTGGCGTCACGGCAGTCCCTCCTTCCTGCATGGCGTCACTACTAGCGGTTCTCCGAACCCTGCTCTCACTCCCGTATTTAAATTTACAGATAGTCTACGTAATTTTGATGTAGTACAGCAAAAGTACGCCATTGCATGAACTTTTGCACGGCCAAGCCTTTTCTTATAACGGGAACTGCTAGGGGAGGATTGATGCGACCCTTTGGCGAACTGGCCTTGAGTTAGCTCATAATGTTGCGGTCACAAGGACCTGAAATTTTAAAGGTACATATATAAAAGATGCCCCATATTCAACCTTTTAAAGTTATTTTAGACAACCCATGTTGGAGGTGTGCAAATTAGTTTCCTGGCCGAGCGAGGTTGAACACTGCTCACTGCTTATACTTCATATCCATTGTTTTCTACCATCTCGCTTATGTGTGTAATTGTCTCGATGTCGACTCACAAGCTGAGGCGACATGGCGCGCCACTGTCATGGCACCGGCAGCTGGCTCTAAATGCCGGCAGCTGGCTCTAAATGCCGTCACTGGCTGTAAGTGCCATTTGTGCTCGTCACTCGTCGCGCACACCTGAGCTGCGCCTGAACCACCACTTTAGCGCTAGTTGTCCCATCTGGCACGGCGCCAGGGGTGCTCCGACAGGTGCTCCGACCCAGGGTCGGCAGGTCACGACCCGTACCTAAAAACGGCCTCTGTCACGCGGTGTAAAAAAAGGACCCAGCCAACGCGACCGAAAGATGAGGACTGACGGCAACCGCCGCTTGCATTTTCCACATTGGAACTAATTCTTAGATGCATTGCTGGTGGGTATTCGATATCTTGGCATCTTTCTCTGGATACTGTAGGTATGTATAGCAAGATTACTAATACTGTATAGTGCAGGTGCTTTACATGAATGCATCTTTTTAACACAAGCTGCGTCTACTGAACAGCCTTCCAAAAAAGAACCCGGAAACGTAACGTTCTGCACACCACGGCTTGGTGATCCTGTTGGTCGTGTGCTCCTAGCCCCTAACCAGCCACTGCTGGCCAGTCAGGCCCCGGACTGGTAACGGACCTCCCCTCCTCCAGCTGTCGAAGGTGTCGGTGCAGCGGAAATGCGCTCCACCGGACACAGTCCCTCTTAACCCGCGCCCTGCTGGGGGGGGGGTGTTTGAACACCCCCCCCCCTTGTGGTTTTTCGCGAATATCTCAAAAACGGCGGCGCGGAGCGCCGCCGTTTTTGGTACACCTTATCATACATCAATTCTACACATGTTGTGAAAATTTCAGACCAAGGTCATTCAAGGTCAGGTCACTAGGTCACTTGAAGTGACCTCACCTCATAAAAAGTTTCAATGTCTGTCATAGCTACACTGAGTGACCGATCGCTTTGAAACTTTCAGCGATTGCTAAGAGCAATAGCATGTACAAAATGTATATCTCAGAATTTTAATATCGATGACCTAAGGTCAGGTCAATTCTGCGACCTCCCCATTATAAGTCAATGGGAGAAAATTGAAATGCGCCTCCTTTGGACGAAAGACATTATAAACACTTCCAAACACTAAATTACAAGTGGTTTAGACACACTGAACATGAAAATGGTGTCCGTGACCCCTGTTTATGCCCTGAGGTCATCTTAGGTCACGAATGGTATCTAACAGTTTTTCGCAAATAACTTTTGATAGAGGCATGCTAGAGCGATGAAAATGCCTTAGATGTGTTCAGCTCGACGATACGGATCGACTGATATGCAACATGACCATTTCCGGTCAGGTCATGACCTTGACCTGAGGTCAAATTTTCAAGTTGACCTTTCAAGGTCAAGTTATAGTTCAATCGATGCGTCTTGACGAGAGGAACACGATGCCGGTAAAAGTAAGCTCGTACAAGGCTTGGGTCAAAAGTTATTGCAGAAAAACTGTTTCCGAAAAATTCGGCTATTTTTGCAGTTTTTGCCCCCTGCAGGCAAAACCGTTGACGTTAGGTCAAATCTGAGAGAATTACTCAGAAAGGGCGTTAATAGGGCTATCGAATGCGCTTTTCCGCGGCGCTGTAGCTCTATTGGTTCCCGAGTTATGCGTTGGCTTCTTGGAAATTGTCGACATTCGACCTGGAAATCGGCGAAATTTTGCCTTCAATGACCTCTGGTGACCTGACCTTTGACCTGACCAAAAAATTGACCGAAGTGATTTCCTCATTATTTTTGACGCTCTTTCGAACGCCGCCTTCCGCGTATCGCTACGTGGCCCAGGAGCCGAGTTAGAAGGGGGGGGGGGTGTTCAAACACCCCCCCCCCAGCAGGGCGTGGAAATCCAGGACCCCCAGCCGGGCGCGGGTTAAGTCACTGGACTGTGTTACGCCGTACTGTCGCCGAACTGCGCGACTAGGACCGCCATGTTCTCGCTGCACTGCCGAGAACGGATAATGCCATCATAAGCTTTAGAAGCTTACCTTGGACAGTGGCTGCGGCGGTATGTGCTTGCCAGGGTAGCCGTTGAGGCGGAGCGGCATGAAAACCCCGTGGTCTGCCTTGGAACGGGACGGACGCCGTTGAGCAGAAAAGGGTCGTATCGGGAGGCTAGGCTGGCCGTGGCCAGCGTCGCTGGACAGGACCGAAGGGAAGTATTGGTCAAAGATGGGAATGAATTTGTCCTGAGGATGAAAGGACTGGTGCCATCGACAGGCTATTCAGAAAGAGTAGTTACGGATTAAGAATCGACACTTTAATATGTGGGACTCGGCTTATAAAATGCTTTTAGCTCGAAAACTTGTGTGTACTTCTGGCGGCTGCTCCAAACTCGCGTTTCTGGTATGCATCATAAACGACTTGTGGCACTGCCTGTTAAGTATCCGAGTCCCCGCAGTACAAACTCCTTTACCACGCGGCGTTTCAGAGCTGTCGGCAAAAAGCGGACGCTTCTCTCGGCGCCGGTAGGGGTAAGCCGGTGTTGTTGCCAGCCAGAGCTGCCAGATGGATGTGTGTCGAGGCGGTGACGTCGCTGTCGTCAGGGGCCGGGCGGGGAGCGGGCGCCCTGTGTGCGAACAGAGGAGCGCTCGCCGACCGGCCCGCCGCCGGCGGTGGTCGGTCGGTCCGGCGTCGGCCGGTTCTGTCCGGTCGGACCGTGACGACGGCCAACCCGACCGCGTGGGTCCGCCGCCCCTGTTCTCGGCAGTCGGGTGCCTCCAGGCTACACTGCTGTTTGGTGCAGTGGCGGATCCTGGGGGGGGTCCACGGGGTCATGACCCCCCCCAAAAGGTCTGAGAGGGTCATTTGACCCCCCCCAAAAGCCGAAGACCTAAATGCGCTATAGACGCCGTCTTGCATGCTCAAAATCACATGTCAAACACTTCTGAGCTAATACCTTTGTTTTTCTGGATCGTGTTGCGTGAAAAGGCGTATTGAAGGCCAGAATCTTACTCATTTTTGTCTCAACCGTGCGAGCACCAGGGGATGATCCAGGAAAACTCCAAGGGGATGGTCATGAATTTAATTCGTGGTGCCCCCCCAGCTAACAGGAAACGTTACTACAACGTTGTCACAACGTCGTGTTTCGGTAAGTTGCGAAATTACGTTTTGATTACGTTGTAGCAACGTTCTGAACGTTGTGAAGCCATGGTTTGGTCCGAAAGTCGTGGTAAAACGTCGTGACAACGTTTTATTGGTACGTTGCAGCAACCGCGCACTTGCAGCATTATATTTTGATAATGCATGGTGACATATATGGCCATATAATGCATTTCCTTTGACTTTCAATGCGCATATTCAGTTTTCATCGTTAAATTTGACATATTTTAACACTTGGACTGTTCACGTTGTCAGCTGGTGGTCGCCAACACGTTGTTAAAACGGTTTTTCACAACCTTGACATTATAGGTACTGAATACCTAATTAGCGGTGTTTTTACAAGTAAATTCTGATACCTTTCTCTCCCTATCTCTCTCTAATATATATATATATATATATATATATATATATATATATATATATATATATATACATATATATATAACATGTGTAAATTGCAAAGCGTCATTGGCATGTTTTGCAACATCACAGGCGGAGCTAGAGGCTTGCAACTATCCCTATGTAAACGCGGCTGTTATCCGCGGCTGCCAGCAAGCCACGCGGGCCGCCACTCAGGCGAACGGTGGCTCGCGCCCTGACCTCGCCTGAGGGGCCGTGACGTCAGTGTCACCGGCCGGCGTTCAGAGCCAGCCGGCCGAGCCGCAGTCTACGCGGCGCGAGCGAGCAGTGAGGGCCGGCGGCGGGCGCGGCTGAGATAGCTGGAAGATGAAAGATAGCGCCAGTTGTCTGCGTTTGATGCGATTGTTGTTTTGACTGGTAAGTCAAAGTACCATTTACGAGTAGCATTTGCAAGATTGTGCCTTGTAATATCGTGCGGTCTAGGCTATAGTTCATTGTAGCTCTAGCCTCTAAGGTGTTGACATGTTTCAGTTTGATCTAGCCTGTCGCACTGTTACGGAAAGTGGTGCAGGTATTTTTGTGATTTTTTCATGAATTGAATGTCTGATTTTC